TTTTGATAATGTGGAATGAAGGATGTAAACTTGTCTGATCTTCTGTGATTTTATCTTGCAATGTTTAAATTCTGTAAGGGAAAAGATCGATTGGATTTTTATAATCTCATGACCTGACAAAGCAATCCACTAAAGACCAAGTAATTTGCTTTAATATACAATGCAGCAGTCACATGTAACATTTTGTCTTGTAGTTTCTGTAAAATATTTAGATTGTATCCTACTGCTGACACAAAAGACACAAGCAATCTAGTTTGTAATAACTCCAAGTTTAGCATCGTAGCAGTAGAAGCAAACGTATCCTATAATAGACCGACCTACCAAGCGTTTAGGTTGTTTGCATAAATGTGTCATAAATGAAATGCGATGGAAGCATTTATGTTCCATTCAGGATTTAAGGCAACATATTTGGGGATCCCCTGCTTTTCTTTCTCTTCATAAAGCCCCATCATCAGTTAAATATTTCACTCCAATGTCAACACTTTAGTTCGCCCAATGATTTTATGACCAAATGTCAGCAAATCTAAAGACACTCACATGCCTCAGATGAGGTTTGTGTTGAGTGATAATTAGCAAATGTAATCGTGATATTTCTCTTGCGTTAACGCTGACCGCAAACCATCCTGCACGTGCCAAACCGCAGCATGTTTGTATCGACATTGTGAGGATGCTAGCGAACTGACGTTAGCATTGAGCTGAGAGCTCAATATGGTGGAATAGATAAATAACTTCCAAGGAAACATCTTCAAGTCGAATTTGGCAACTCTCCAAAATGACCCGGGCTGCAATGGATTTCAATGGACCACCTGTAAAAGTAGGGTCTCACTTTCACACCGGGAGCTCGTATCTAATCAGCTCCAGCACTTAGTGGTCAGTGCCTGTGGATTATCAATTCCATAATCTCTTTTTAGAGCTTTCGCTGAATCGAATATTCACAGCCACCCCTGATTTTCAGCTAAAATGGTATCGTCCACCCTTTAAACAATCTTGCTTTTGTGTTCTCAGAGGCAGACCATTTGTCTTTTGGAATACATTTACGCATCTGTTTTAAGAGCCTCATTGATTCACTATTTACTATCTGAGCATCCCATTGGTGCCTGTGCCCATTTTGTTTTGCTGACTGCATTTTCCTAAGGGGCAGGTGGTCTGTGCAAGCCTCTTTGTACAGACTTGTGCTGCTGGTGGTGGGGGGGTTGCTAATATGGGGCTTTCAACATCTAATCCGAAGTCTCTTAGAAAAAGCTTATCTTGGGACTCTCCAATTTCACTGCTTTCCTCATCTGCAGGACCAAACTGCTTTTTGGTGTTAGTTGTGAACAAATATGACTCAAGCTAATTCAATACATTGTTTCCATCAATTGTTCTTCCCTCTGCTTAGTTATTATCACCCTATCTACCCCCCCACCCCCCGCCCCCCCTGCTGCCCCGTCCCATTGCTGACAAATCCATACAACTATGTGGGACACAAAGGCTTGGATTTAGCTGCCGGGCCAAAGCGAGGGTCGACCGGGCGGGCAGGCGGGGGCGCACCATGGAAATTTCTGTTGTTTTTGTCACAGTACAAATTTCAGACCAAATCAAAACAACTGGCACCGTCACCCGTCCAAAACCCCTTCCTTCCCACCGCAACCGCATACACACTGCGGCCAGTCATCACTTTTAGGCTGGAAATGCAGCCGGATCATGTGCTGCGGGATGGAGGCGAGCCTGCGTGTGCACTGTGGGCCATTGTTGAAAAAGAGCTGACAAGGGCCTGGATGGGATCTCATTTGATTGGAAAAATATCGAGAGATTCAATTTAAAGATCTGGGGGTCACGAGTGCAGTTTGGCCTTTTATGATTAGGCCTAATGCATGTGCACATGCAGCTAAACAAACAGATCAGCTATTGTGACGGCTCTTGCCTGCTGTACAGTCATCAGAATAACTTCTTTGATTCATCCCGTTTCCCCGATGACAGGCGGATGCAAAATGTCCTTTTCTGTCACTCAATTCAGGCCGAATCTCAAATCGTTGTTCTATGTTGTGTCTTCGTTTTATCAGAAAGCAGTGAGAGAACCGTGAGTGGTTTTACCACCATTATGTGAGTATTTCATATGTCTGTCTAACCTTGTGGGATTTCCTGTTGCATATCATTTCTGAACATCAACATGGAGCTCTTTTGGCAGTCGTCAGGAGCATTAGCCCTGATTTATAGACTCCTTTTCCACACCAATGATCCCCCAAATCGCCAAAAATCCCCTGAAATTAATTCTTTCTGTTTCTCAATCAGATGAAAAAATTATATTGATGCTGCCATTTTACCTTCAGGAGTATTTTCATAAACATAAACATTTTCTGAAATACTGCAAAACAACAAGTATTATTTTAATTTATTTTATAAATGTTTTTTTATAAATAATCAAAGCATTATTTTTCCAATAATTAAAGTAAAGCGTAGTAAAATACCCATTAACCTGGAACAGGAGGGGACATCATTGAATATGAGCAGACACACCCTGCCCTTTTAGTTTGTTTAGTTTGCTCACTAAACTAATTCTTTTCAAATCCAAATCTCAACTTTATTATGTAGGTTTATCATTACGTTAACATTTCAAGTGTCACGGTCAAAGTCACAGAGTGAAATACCATCATGAGTATTGTGAAATCGGTCGATTGGCCCATAATATAACAGACGGACAGTTTGTCCACTGACAAAAACCCTTTCTGAGAGCCTGGTCTTATCATCTTTACCATCCAATCCATGATGTGGCCTACTTACGTGATCAATTACCAATCAAAGCCTCGGGACAGCCACCGGTTTGCGGGACTGGTGAAACATGTGAGGCAATCAGACTCAATCCCTGTGAGTTGTAGGTTTCTGAGTGTGACATCATTTCACTTGCAAGTCCTATGATTGACATTACACAATGAAGGTTGAGCCCTACTGCATTTCGTTGCCTCAGTACTTGTACCCTGTGCTATGACAATAAAGTTGAATCTAATCTAATCTAATCTAAAGGTTAAATAGATGGGACATTCTGGGGGGGAAATATTTCTTCCAAAGACTATTAAAAACAAGGTCGATGCCACACAGGTTCTGTAAAACAACGTTTGATTCTAATTACAGACGTGTCAAATTAAATTACTATTTCCATTTCTTTTTGAATACCAAGTAATTAGAAATGAATAAACTTAAACTCTGGAGCAACTTGAACCACAACTGATAGTCGTCACCAAACATATTGATAATCTGGCCTCTGCGTTTCCTGTTGGGTACAGCTGGGTGGAGATGAGAGCAAAGGAGAGGGTGCAATCAATGAGGTCAGTGAATTATGATTTATTATACAGCACCACGCCATTAGTGTCACACATACTTTGTCACATTGTGTGGAGATAGCACGTCTGTGTCTATCAAATGGGATTTGGACTGTCGACTAGTGCTGTAAGTGGTTCGGGGGCTTTCGTTCGGAGGGGGAAACATCAGGGGGCTTTAAGGGTGGTAATGGAACAAACATTTTTTTTAAATAAATACATCAATATATTGAAGGAAATGTTCAATCATTTTAGAACTGGCTGTAGAGATGAAGAGATCCATCTGACCCCTGTTGTTGGTTATGGAATGAAACTTCTGGAAAGGCCTCGCTTGGCTCGGTCACATGGGATGCTGCCGCTCGTTCGGTTGCACGTGTTGTCTCTGCATATAACCTTGAAATGACCTCAAGCGTTTCCTACACGCCAATTTGTAACGAAGCTAAAGCATACCCACCTGCGCCGTCATCAGTGGAATAATTATAATAATTCAACAACAAAAAAAGGGAACCAGTGGAAATACTGCCTTTTGCTGTGTAACCACGGCAACTCCTCCCTCAGAATGCAACATCACCAAAGCCCCCACCGCGCGCAGCGAGCAGGGTGGGATGCGCTGTCTCGCTTACCTGGCTTTATCAATACACCCGGCGGGTCACGTGGGCTGCCCAGCCCAGCACTATATTCTGCTACATAAGCGACGTTTTTTTTCTTCTTCTTTTTCTCTCTTTTCTTTTTCTTCCCCTCTCATCCGAGACGGGGTGGGTGCTGCTGCTGCTGCTGTGGCTGCTGCTTTTGTGTGTGAGAGAGAGAGAGAGAGAGAGAGAGAGGTGGGAAAAGCATCTCCGCCTCCCCTCCCGGTCCCCCTCGCCCTCCCTCCCTCCCTCCCCACCCAAAGCTCCTCCTCTGTCGTCGGAGAGCAGAGAGCGGTCACACACTGCTCGATGAGAGCAAGAGGGCACCGCGGAGGATTTAATTCCAACCTGCTGCTGCGCCGTGCAGATGTTTTCTCGCCTTTGACAAAGGTAAGGCATGCCCGCCGTCTGCAGCCGCAGCCGCTGCGCGCGCGCGCGTCGTGCGCCACGCCGCCGGGGAAGTATAGTGCCGGGGCTCCGTTGGGTGGAAGATGATGCTCCCAGCCGAAAGGGCGAATTCATCATTGAAGGGCAGACGGGGGGAAAGAGTTGGCCGTGGAACTGCCGCCTTGTGACACGCTGTTCAGTTTAAGCGGCGGCAGGCTGCGTGTGCGTCGTTGGGAAGTCAAACAGGACAGGTGCGCGTGTGCTTTTAATTTCATTTTAATGTCCTTTCCCCTTGGCGGCAGCATCATAGGCTTTATCGTTTCCCACTGACTGATGTCCGTAAACCGTCGGCCTTCACGTTTCGTAACATTTTGTCAGGTAAAAAGAGCAGGTGGCCGATTTCCGAATACACGTTGTTAACAATAAAATAGTTAAGCCAGCAGAATCACGTCGCCGGAGTTGATATTTGTACGTAGCAACATATAGCTGTTGAAATGTGTTGACATTGTCAATTACTGCATGTAAATGACTGAATATACTCAATGATGCAGCTAATGAAGTCTACACTGGCCACATCATTTCAATTACCAGTAAATGTTTAAACTTATCATAAATTCTTCATTTGTTTTTCCGTATCACATTTTTCAATGTTTATTTCAGAGTGCAGTGATAACGCTCGAGATACGCATTTTAAGATGAGTATTTGACATTACTGCATAACCTTGTAACTGGGGATTACCTCTTAGATTTCATTTCTCAATATCTGCATGCTGCTTTTTTGGGGCAGTCGTCAGGAGCATCAGCCCTGATAACTGGATTTTCCACAGCGATGGTTATTGAATAAGGTAGCTGTTGTTCATCGTATTCTTAGATTTGTTTGCAATTCATATAAAGAAAGGGATTCATCAACTATTTGTCCATTGCACATTTTCCCTTTTTGCATTTATTTTTTTTTTGCATAAAAAGAGAAAAGCAGCACATTTGAGTTCTTTACGGCTTGTTTCCTCTTGTAGCATCAGACTGTTTAAAGGGACGGAGCGGAATCTTTAAAGTAGACCTTCTTGATTTAATCATATGTTGATGTAAGCTTTACCCTCCTGACTTTGGTTCCTAGTTCACTTATTCCTTTTCTTCATTCTGTTGCGGTCTTCTCGGCAGAGGCTACTATGAAGACGACATTTGGCAAACCAGACCCTGGAAAGCTTCTACAATCTTTTCAATTCATTTGAAACTTGTGACAACACCATGCATTGTTTCCGGTAAAACCCGCCCGCCGCTCTCCCCTCGTCCTACCCAGCCGTTGAGAGTGAGGACACCACAAGCTGCGCAGACATGGGTTCGGATCAACCCTGCTCGGAGTCCCTTGAGAGGAGGCCCACGTTGAGCGCCGCCTGCAAGCGGCAGGCCTACCGATGTCTGCGGAAAAAGCTAAGGCCATTGCGAATCGTAGGGTTTGCCCTCAGCCTGGTGGCCTTAAGTGCTTTCTCCGTCAGTGCCTTGACCTGGAGCTCAGGGGGTTTCAGTGAGCCAGTTCTCTCCCAGGAGAGTCTCCGCCACTCGGTCCCCCACAGGACTCTACTTTTCAGCCAACATCGGAGGGACGCCAATGTGTCAGCCGACATGCCGATAGCCATGAAATCTACGTCAAATAACACCGAGGGCCACGGGGATTACCCGCCCGACCTCTTCACCCTTGCGGAGAGACGCAAAGGAGCAGTGGTCCTCCACATGTTCGGCATGATCTACATGTTCATTGCCTTAGCCATAGTGTGCGACGAGTTCTTTGTCCCAGCACTGACGGTGATCACGGAGAAGTTGACCATTTCGGATGACGTCGCGGGCGCCACCTTCATGGCGGCAGGCGGCTCCGCCCCGGAGCTCTTCACCTCCATCATTGGCGTCTTCATCTCGCACAGCAACGTGGGCATCGGCACCATCGTGGGCTCGGCCGTCTTCAACATCCTCTTCGTGATTGGGATGTGTGCCATCTTCTCCAAGGAGATCCTCAACCTCACGTGGTGGCCACTCTTCCGTGACGTCTCCTTCTACATACTGGATCTGATCATGCTCATCATCTTCTTCCTGGATAACATCATCTCCATGTGGGAAAGTATCACGCTGCTCTCAGCCTACGCCGCCTATGTTATCTTCATGAAGTGCAACAGCAGTGTTGAGAGATTCGTCAAGAACTGCATGAACAAGAACCAAGTGGTTGAAGTAGAAGCGCAGCCCAAGGTGAGTTGGTCTCTTGAGCAGTATTGCTTTTTTTTCCTTTTTCCCGTCACCACCATTTCCTTTAAAAATACAATATTTTGCCGCAAAAGCAATGACCTTCCATGTCACCTCTCACATGGGATCAAACCCTCCTTCTACACATCAATGATACATCTGATTCGTTATTTTGAGGAAGTCAGGCTGATTGTGATGAAACCGGTTTGTTTGTGGAGACGTGCTTTTAATTCCATGCATCCTTTTCATGTTCTCATTAGCCTAATGAGCGTCTTCAAATAACACCAGTGTCCCACAGACATCCCGCGCTCTAAGATCATGCAATATGCAACCAGCATAAACTGACCACAGTCCATTCATGTGGTTTAACCGATGCTACACAGGGCCGGCATACAGTATTCCTCTGTAGGATTAAGAAAACCCAGTTATATGTGTAATTCTGGGTTAAGCTCTACAAATTGTGTCCCGGTCCGACATCCAAATTCGTAGAAATTCCCGAGAGCAGTTTTTATTTTTCCTCGATTAAAGATTTCCCGCAATAACACTGCATTTAAATAACTGTGTGAACATGTGAACCCCATGCAGCAAAACCTCTTCTTTGACTCGTCAGTTTCTCCACATTTGCTTTCCCCAGGATCCTGTTCACGTACGGTCTCAATGCAATGTTATACTTTTGTTTATAACATATTGAATACTCCATAGACAAAAAACGTAGCAACGATTGTTTGACTGGACATAGCGTTCGTCCACATCAATGACATTTGAGGGCAAAAGACACCGCAGTGCAATTTGATACCAGTGTAGAGATTATCCAGACGGATTTAGATTTCTTTGTGACATGAGATTGAAATTACATTTTGTGAAAGTTTCATTGTAAAGCTTTAATTAAATCTGGATTCATTCTAAGTACATAAAGGATATTTAAAGGGCAGGTTTCACAATGTTGGGCGGAGAAACTGTCAAAGAATCCAACATAGTCTTTTGTTTTGCAGTCGTTTAAAAAGCAAACATGGCAATAGTTATTTAGCTCCTATTCTTGCCAAACTAATTTGATTGAGGGCTTCTGTGCAAGAACAGAATGAGAAGTAAGGTGCACAAGCTGAGTGCCAGACAACACTCGGGTGACCTTGAGCTGAAATGTATTCTGGGTAGTTTGGCCAACAGGACCGCTGGTGTGTGTATTAAAAAAAACTAATTTTGATGGAGGGAAGAAAAAGTGGGAGACTGATGAGTTGATCAAATCCCACCATCGTGTCTCGTCAGATTTAGCCTGTCCTCTCTCTTGCATTGTGGGTAACAAGCACATGGCTGAAGCTTTCAGCACAAAGCTTTGAACATAAAACAGAATACATAAAAAAAGAATTACATAATGTACAAAATAACAGTCTAAAGCTTAAATTTACTAAACCTAGATTGTCAGTGAACCTCTTTTTGTTAAGAGGTGGGTTAATAGAACTACAAAGGCACAAATATTATTAGAATATAATCATCTAAACACCTTTTTTTTTTAATTAAGCTTTGACACTTTGGGGACATGTGTATTTTAAGATGCATGTTATTTTGGGAATTAATTGGCAATTTAGCAGACTTGTATGTGCGTAAATTCATACATGAGTAATGGAGAGTCAAACAGGAGAGCAAGGGCAAGTGTCGTGCAAAATATGATTGGTTTTCCGCTTTTTTTTAAACTTTCTATTTTTAAGTGACATTCACTACTATGGACTGAGCTGCTTTTTTATAAGTCAATCATTTAACAGTTATGAATGAGCTCCTTAACCTCCGTGCAGTGCCGCTCAGGTGAAAAATATTGCTCTGTAAGGACAATAGGATGCTATTTCACGCCATGCCCCTGAACTAGACACCTGATTAAAATGAGCTTCCCTGAGATTATTTTGTGCAATAGGATGATATTAGGACGTCCCTGATCTGCGTTATATTGCAGTAATAGACAGACAGAAAGACGGGCAGTCTGCAGCAAAAGAGAAGTGGTGTCCTGTCACCATAGGAGAAAGGGTGTAGGTTGCCTGGTTGGTAATTGGCAGTTAACCATCAATAATGCTATAAATACCATCTAAAATTCAATTCTGAGAGTAGCATGGACAGCAGTGTAATGTTTTGCATTTAGCATTCATCTGTCCATTTTGTACTGTGTGCAACCGCTGCCTTTCATCTCACTGCAGGACTGCTTGCACCGAGTTCTCTTTTTTTTTAATCTATCGACGTGAAAAGTTTCTTTCGCAAAACGCGTTTGTTCTTCTCCTGGTAGCATAAAAATAGTTTGCTTATTTACTCGGAAAAAAAAATGTCTTCGCTCCCGGGCAGAGCGTCAAATAGCACGAGGAGCTTTTCCATCATTTGACAGAACAGAGTAGTCATTCTTTTTGAGCCCTGGGATCAGGTGTAACATTATTGATAAAACATAAAAAGAACAGCGGCGGATACCAGGTCTATTTAAAGCCATTGTTTGACATTAATTCAGTGGTCAGCCATATCAAACGTAATCTGCAATAATCTCTCAATCCAGTTAACACAACCATGAATGCTCCATAATGCCGTGCACTTAGGCTGACTTGAAATTACGGGAAAATAGGATGATGAAGGCTTTTGCTTTGGCCACTTTTAGACAGATGAGAGGAAGGTCAACATGTTGCAGAGTTTGATGAGTGACAGCATTTCTATATTCTTTTACGCTCTTTAAGAAAACGCTTAAAGAATCACAGACCAAACGTGAGCTTTCCTTCTATACACGTAGCCTCATGCTCCAAGGATAATAAAGACATATTGATAGTAGAACCGTGAACTCAAAATTTGTAGAAATCATCTGTTGTTTTGATAGACTCATGTAATTCAGCCTCAGATATGACGGTTGATCGGAGTGCATGACATGTGATTGAATTACTTTCTTCTTCGATCCCAACAGATGTTGGACGGATGTATTTACCGGTTAGTTCTGGCTCTATTTGGGGCCTGATGCCATTGTTTACCTTATAAGTGCTTTGTTGCATGTAAATCTCACAACAAGGCCACTCTGTCTCAGCCTAATGAGTAAGGTTACCACCTTTAGGCACCCCCCCCCCTAAGACACAACCCTGCAGGCTGGTGATTTGTTTTCCCTGTCCTCATCTACTTTTAACAGATCCAGATGTTTTCACCGCAGCGGATGGTGCAACAGTAGACAGTTGATTGTCTGCAAAAGCATTGCAGAATAACGCAATCCAATTCAAATCCCTGTAATAAATACTACCTTTTGTGAGGCTTAATATTGTCAGTTGATGATCATTTATGAGGCTGTAGTTTGTCACCATTAGTTCAGTTTAATTGCATATGTCAGATCCGTCATTTCAGTCATTTCACTGCTTGGTCCTGTGACCTAGCGTGTTCTAAAGGCAACGAAAGCAGTGATTCATTTCACTATCACTGCTTTTATTTGCTGCATGCTCTCTTCCGTGAGACGTCATGGTCAGGTGGTGTTCTCAGTGAGTTAACAGGACGAAAATAGAATTGGACCCGTGCATAAAGAACTGATTACGGATCATTAGTATGTGCAGTACACTCTGTCATAATTTGCCTGATGGACTGACAGGCTGCTTTTGGAAAAACTGGCTCCGGCAGATCAGACACGTTGGCCAGTCCTGTTTCATGAAACGCAGAGGAGTGACGGCCACTTTCACTTGTTACTATCATCGTGACACACCAAGAGTCAGGGGTGTAAGGGGTGATAATTATGTCATTCTGTCATTTTTGCTTGGCCACATCTTGCAACTCATCAAAAACAACTGGTTGTCAAGCAGCGAATAGCATCTATGAATGTGTGTGTTCTGGAGAAATAATTAACAAATGAAATGCACGGTAACAAAACTGGAACAAAACGTCTCATGTACGTGTTTCAATTAGTAAAGCTTGAAATGTGTAGTCTCTGTATGACTCTACATCCAACCACAACATTAGATGCCTAATATCATCAATGTGTTCCGAGACAGATGTTGGTTCTGCTGAGATGGAAGGTGCGACCTCTGATGTATTACCGAGCTATAAATAGCGCCACAGAGGCGAGATCTTCCATCAGGATTTGCTTCAAAGATCACTTACAAAGTGGGTTCTGTGCAGGGAGCAGACTGTTTGTGCTTCCTCCTCGTGAATTTGGGTATCCAGGCACTAGGTCTGATGCTGTAAACCTTCTATATAGTCACACATGAAACCTGGTGTTTGATGCCGTATGATGTGTGCTATATTTTTACATTTTTATCCAGTCCAAACTGAGTAAACTAACCTCATCGCACCCTATAATACCAGGCTGCACTGCATGAACTCCGTCCCTAGCTGTTTATTTTAGTCCTGGGTGACGTGTTCCTGGGATTATCTCCCATTATGACGGATGTCTACCTAATTTTCACTAACATCCAGATGTGCACTGCTGAACTCAAATTTTTCAGATTGCCTCTTGAATGGATTTTGCTATTTTAAAAGCGTTGTCAAGCAAATCTTTTGAAAACGCTGTATAAACATCCATATTTACACTACCACACACGCTGCCCTCTCTTTTAATTGTAGACACACACAGATTTGGGGCTATCGTGGCTGAACCTGAAATGAATGTCTTTTCACAGTATCATTTGTATGGTACGTGTCATTGTCCTTTATTTGCACTGTGTGTTTCTGTGAAAGCAGTGAGAGCATCCATGCTTGTATCATTTGAAAAGGAAAGTTGTGAAAGTGACCTTGATTGAAAACTGAGTAAAAAAACAGGTAGATGTTGGTAATGCTTTCATCCAAGCCCGCGTAACTGATGGGCAGATGGAAACAACAAAATGGAAGCACTGCAGTAAAAACATACGTATACTTTAGCATGTCGGAAAGTAGAGGAAAATATCGATCGTTTGATGGAAAGTTGAACTGTAAAAAAGCTGAGCTCGGTTGTCTTTGTGTGCTTATCGGTGTAGTTTTAGGGTGATATATTCACATGGGTGTGCAGACACCTCTGCCAGCACCTACACTGTATACACCTC